GTTAAAATTACATTGACTCAATTTTTAATATTGATCCATCCTTCCAACCCTGAACTAAACCCATCATGAATCCCAATTCTTTTATTGATTTTTGAACAGTAATTGATCAGATTTAATTTATAACTTTTACATTTATATTTATGGCCTATATTGGTCTATAGTTTTCTTTTGTATAGTCTTCTCTGGTTTTGGTATTAGTGTTACACTTGATTCACAAAAAGAATGTTAATATACTCTCTTTCATTTCTAGGAAAGCTTTCTACAAAATGTTGTAAATTCTTCTCTCAATGTCTTATAGACTTTGCCTGGATAGGAAAGAATATTAGATTCAAATTCAAATGCTGTAATAGGGGGTTATCTCAATTGTCTATTTTATACTAAAACTATCTCTTTGGCTTTGTAGACCAGTAAAAGTTAAGTTCTGATGCAGTAGCTGCGGATTGCTAGAAATGACTGTTTCTCCACAGAACTCACAAAAGGCTGTCTATGGTCAGTGGGCAGTAGTGAGTATGGAAAATCACAACTTGTCACGTGATAAGAATAAGTGACATCTGAAAGCTCAACCTTAGAGGGGACATCTGCATCAGCCCTTCCAGTGTGCAGGGAGCAATATAGAAGATGGAGTAGATAGAATACAAGAGGCAGAGGAAGGGGAGGAATGCTGCAGGATGCTGTCTTCCAGGGACAGCACAGACATTATACTACATTGACTCACAACTGCTGTAATTGTTTGACAAGACCTGCACAAGATTGAACCCGTCAACATACTGGGGGCGGGACTCATAGGCCCTAGCTACCCTGAGGATATATATCCAGTCAGTGGGTGCTGGAGAGGGGAAAACATCTTCATCAGTGGTACCGCCACTGGCAAGGTACCCAACTCTGTAAGCAACACTGATGACACTCATATGCCTTTACAAAATGTCATAATTAAACTCAACATTACATATAACTAATATATGAAAAAATAAGCATTAAAAACAAAGAGCAAGGACATCACAGCCTGAAATATTCATCCTCTAGCTTCCATCCCTTACTGCAGCAAAAGGCAGTGCTCTTTGAGGGATGATAACTAACACTAAAGTCCTCTGAAAAAGCCATATGGGAATCTCATATTGCAGACACTTCCTAAAATATAAAAGTGTATATGTGCTTATATTCATAAATGTATATACACACAAGTTTTAAAGGAGTTGCCTTATATGGGGAGCAATGCCTCTCCCAGATGTCATAGGCTATCAAACAAAAAGCCTAATGCCAGATATATGTCTCCTCCCTTTGTGTTGTTGGTCACTGGGGGCCCATAAACTCCAAAACAATACAGACTGTGGTCATTGCTCTTAGTTACCCTCTAGAACTTTCTGGTAGGATCACCTGAGGTTGGGATGAAAAACTGGTAACTGATGGGAGGGATTGGAGAGGGAAGTGATTAAAACACATTGTACTCATGCATGAAATTCTCAAACAATGAAAAAAGATTGTGGGGCTGGAGAGTTGGCTCACTGGTTAAGAGAACCTGTTGTTCTTTCAGAGGATCAGAATTCAAATCCCAGTACCCAGCTCACTACCACCCATACCTCCTGCTCCAGGGGATCTGACCCTGTCTTCTATCCTCTGGAACACACATACACACCACACACACACACACACACACACACACACACACACACACACACACACACACACACCAGGAAACAGCACTTTGGAAGGAACTGAGACCATGCAAGAAAAAGGGAACAGCCTGCAGATGTCTATCCTTACCCTGTAGATAAAACAGAATCTGGGAAAGAGCACCTCTTTTTCAATTCAAGGAATGAAAAGAGAGAGAGAGAGAGAGAGAGAGAGAGAGAGAGAGAGAGAGCAAATTTTCCAAGAAGCAATGAAGCAGAGAAAATGGACAAAAAGAGAAACATCTATAGGAATAGGGATTTTGGGCATAACAAGCCAATAAATAAATAAAAACAAAGAATTAGTCATGAAAGAAGGGACTTGACAGAATGCATTTTCTAGTGAAAGCCTCACACCAAGACACAGCGGCATTTCTATGTGTTTACAAAGGAGGGAAGAATGGAACTCAGTCTTTGGATTTCTTCAATCTGTCATTTGACACCATGAATTGGTGTGGTAATACCTTCTAATTTCTCAAGGGAAATAACATCTATACCATCATATACAGGGAGAAAATTTACCATTCCAGTTAAAAATAAAATAAAGACAGTTTTAGATGCCTGGGAATCTCTTGAAGAAGGATGTACTCCATAAAAATGTGAGTGATGGATGTTGGCACTGGGCTAGCACAAGAGTGGGTACAGAGAGACTCTAAGCAGCCCTACCCCAATGGCTGAAGTATTTGCTACTAGGAGATTCAGGCATGAAGGAGTCATTCCCTTCAATTTGATGCTCACTGGTGACCCCACCAGGCTCCAATATAAGTTCCAATCTGGTGATCACACAGATGGTCCTGCCTAACTAAACTCAAAAGCTTTGAATTTGGAAAAGGGAGTAGCAGGGAGGATGGGGGTTTGATATGGATGGAAGGGGATTAGAGCCAAGGGAAAGAACTTTGGAACATCACCTGAAGAGTTCATCATGTGTCCCTTACCGTTGGTTAATGTGTAAGTCACACCCAAGAAGCAGAAGGGTGGAGAGACCAGCTGCAGCAGCCTGTCAGTGAACTTTGAGAGTTTGTTCATTGTATTTGTGTGGGGGTTTCCTGTGCACCCTATAAAGAAAGAGCCAGCATGAAGTGTTCCTATGGGCCCATCAGGGCAGCACTGAGGGTAATATAGGTAAGTAAGCTAGGCATGTGCCTACCGTTCAAAGATTGAGGAAAAAGCCATATTACAAGACAAGGTGCACTGAATAGCAGTTATCAAGAGAACAGGAGACAAGAGAGCTCAAAGGAGTAGGGTCAGGGATGGGCAGTGGCTCAGAAAAATCCACCAATGTCCTCCTTGGAGCCAGACCTGCCAAGCCACAGAACACTGTCCCCTGCTCACAGCATTATGGGCCCTAGCTTCTGCCAGAACAGGAGCCAAGTGATACATTACTCATCTACACAGAGCCCACTTAGAATGAAGAAACCACAAACTCACACCCATCCTGAGATGCATCACATGGCAAGATTCATTTCCAAGCAAGACCAACATAATTTTAAATGAATCAAGAAGATATAAATAATGTAAATATTTTGGTTCTATGATGAGGGGATGAAAATTATCATCCATTAATATATCCTTTTCAATTCTGTTTAACAAGCACAAGTACAGGATATATTGTTTTAAGGATGACAATGGAACAAATACCTCTTCTTTGTCATTCTAGCTATCATTGATTTCAAATTATTCATACTCCTCTTATTTGGAGGTTACACAGAGACATCCAAGCTGCCCCTTCAGTTTTCAGGTTGACCATTCTAGCCTCAGTGACTGACCAGCACTGGAGAGGAACTTTCCCTTAACCAAGGAAGTCACTGCCCTCCCCTCATCCATGGCTATGTAGTCCTCTGACAAAGGTCTTTTTAGGATATATAGATCCTGATAAGATACACCATCATTCTTCTGTGTATCACAATGTATTTGGAGTAGTGGAACCTTGATTTCCCAAAAAAATAAAAGATGGATGTCAAGCATAGCTAGGCTAAGACTGGGTTCAGTTCTATATCCACTTAAATAAGCTGATGTTCTGTCAAAATTTTCTTTAGGTGGAACTATGCTCCAACAGCCTTGCCACACCTTCCTGTGTAGACCAATGTGTCCTCCTTCTCAAAGGACTCTGTTCTCTTTACCTGCCATGCCCTTCACTGAAGGACATACATAGTCACTGTCTAATATGCCTGCATAAGATCTGCTTGAAACATCAACTGAGCAGAATAAAATATGTTCCCCTTGTGTTTCTTCTCTGTAGCTGTAGATAATCAGTAAAAGTCAGTTTACTCTTTCACCTAGCAGCATCCCACATGTAAAGATGCCTGCCGTAATCTGGGAGTTTTTTTTGTCTGGGATCAAAGATGAGAGTCCATTGACCTGAGGCTGTGCCTTACCTGAGAACCAGGTTTAAACTCCCCCATGAGTCACAACCTCAAAAACAGCAAGTACAGCCTTCCCAGAAACTTGTGGGCTTTTAAAATTAAACTGATCTTTCATTTTAGTGTAAATGGACCTATGAGGTGAAAGCAGAGAGCATATTACCTTCTTTATAAGACATTTTTAAAAAAGCATGTTTGTTTTTTTGTTTTGTTTTGTTTTGTTTTGTTTTTGTGTGTGTGTGTGTGGTGTGGTGTTGTAAGCATTTGAATATGTGGGTGCACTCATTTGTGTGTGCATATGTGAGGACTAGATGTCAATGTCCAGCATCTTCCACATAGCTCTCTATCTTATTTTTTTGAGGCAGGATCTTTCACCGAACATAGGTTCACCGCTTTAGCTAGAATTCCTGACCAGCAGGCCCCTGTGATCCACATGCCTCTACCCAGCCTGTACTGGGTCACAAGTGTGCACTGCCACTCCTGGCTTTTTATATGTGTTCTAGTGTTCTAAGGATATGAACTAGGTCCTTACTCTTGTGAAGCAAGCACTTTACCCCCTATGTCAGCAGCCCACTTTCTGTATCATCTTCCTGACCCATGGGAGTTTCAGAGTAAGTGAACAAGAAAGAAACCACAGTCATAGCTTCTCAATGACTGCTATCAAGATGACATAACCTTTTGCATCCAAATCTTGACAATATCAAGCCAGCAGCTGAACTTAACAGGCCCTCACTTACTTAGGACCAAAATGTCTGGTTTTCCTGAACCTGGTGACCATTAATGTAAATAGGATACAGAGAAATACCAGGAAGTAGGATCATTCCCATTTAAATATGTTAACTTGAGATTGGTTGATGTGTCTGGTAGATAGTATGTCACCAAATAGGACACTTCAGAGCCACACCTTCTCCCCTTCTCACTCACCCAGAGTCATTGACACAATCCCCATGGGAGCAGCCAAGCCACCACTGACCTTCCAGTCAGACACCTCCGCAGAGAATAGGAAGCTCCTCCCCCACAGGTCCGGGAACAGTCGCTCCACTCTCCCCAAGCATCCCAGTTGCCATCTTTGTCTTCATCTGAATGAGTGTTTCTTGAGGTCTGGATATGGGGTGGGGGAAAACACAGCCAGTTATGGAAGTCAAATATCACCTAAGTCTATTCACAGGAAATATCCACAGTAGTCCAATGCAGTTGAAAGAACAGTAGTGCTGTCTGCCAGAAACTCTTGGGGCATGGAGGGGAAGGGACTGTTCAGCGGGTTTGAAGCTCTAGCCATGCACAATTAGAAAGTTCCTGGTTCGTACAGTACACATACTAGGCTTACAGTTACTTCAGTTGGTCAGGAAGTTAGATACCATATTCTGTGCTTTCCCTTAAAAAGAGTAAAAGTGGGACTGGAGGCTTAGCAGTTAAGAGTACTGGCTGCTCTTCCAGAAGACGTGGGATCAAATCCCAGCACCTATCTGGCAGCTCATAAGTCTCTGTATCTCCAGTTCCAGGGAATCCAATATGGAACACATGTGGTGCACAGACATACATGCAGGTAAAACAATGACGACATAAAAATAAACATAACATAAAATAAAAATAAGTTAAAAATCAAATCTCAAAAGAAAGTAAAAGTGAGGGAATGGGGAAAATTGTCTCAAGAGTTATAGTAGCCAGGCACCTTTAATCCCAGAACCTGGGAGGCAGAGGCAGGAGTTAAGTTAGAAGCCAGCCTAGTCTACAATGAGTTCCAGGATAGCCAGGGCTTCACAGAGAAATTCTGTCTCAAAAAACCAAAAATAAAAGTTATAGCATTGACATAATAACAAATAGTCATAGGTATTAATTTTTCTCATAATGCTTTATTAGTGCATATTAATTGCACAAAAATGTGTTTCATTATGACATTTTATACATGTATATATAAAGCACTTTTTATCATATCCACTAAAAGTAGCTAAACTATTTTAATTCTTGAGATAGTATCTCCTAACATAATTTAAGCAGACACTGAACTTACTGTACACCCCAGGCTGCTCTCCATCTCATTGCCTCAGCTTCCTAAGTACTAGTATTAAAGCTTATTTTTATAATTATATAAAGTCTTGGTCTGGAGAAACCTCTCAGCAGAGCTCTTACAGAGAATTCAAGTTTGATTTCTAGCACACATGCAAGAATTCATAACTGTTCATAGCTCTAGTCCCAGGGATCCAATGCCCTTTCTGACCTCAGCAGGCCCCAACCACACATATGATCACAAACACACATAGAGGTAAAATAACCACACATAAAACAAAATGAGTAAATCTAACAAAAAATGAATTTTTTTAAAAAAAATCTATAAATTCTTAAAATATGTCAAAATGAATTCCAGATCTCTTAAAAATTTATATGAAGGAACTGAAACCATAAACTACCAGGAAGATCATATACCATATAAACACTGACGGACATATGGTTAGCATAGGAAAGACTGTCGTATATTTATTAACAGAGGTTAAAAGCAATTTAAAGGGAAAGGCTGGTGTGGCTTAATTTCTTTAAAATAAAAACACAAAGTATTTTTTCGCTATCTTCATATAAAAACAGTTTAGTGAACACACATGAAAACATGGCAGGGAAAGTACAGGAGCACAGGCTAGAAGAATACACATGAAACTCCCTCTAAGAAAAGAAAAGAAGAGGAGGGTCTCCTCACTGTCCCTGAGAAAAGTCACAAGAGGAATTGTTCCATTTTCCTTTATCACTCAAAAATATGTCTACAGCAAATATACCTAAGCTTTAAAAATCAACATGAAGCCAGGTGGGTTTTCATGGGTGGTGGTGTTGCTACTCTCTGAACTTTAGTGGTTTTTGAAATTTTTTTAAAAATTTCAAATTTTCGGCTGCCGGGGGATGGTGGCACACGCCTTTAATCCCAGTACTTGGGAGGCAGAGGTAGGCGGATCTCTGTGAGTTCAATCCCAGCCTGGTCTACAAGAGCTAGCTCCAGGACAGCCTCCAAAGCCACAGAGAAACCGAGTCTCAAAACAAACAAAATGTTAAGTATTTTAGGCCAAAATGCATTCATTAGATGACAACACCCTATCTAGACACAAGGCTGTATCATGTTTAACCTGGGTAAGTCTGCCCAAGAAATAGACAAAGAGATGTCCAGATAAATAAAATGTTACAGTGAGAGTGTGAGGAAGCTTTGAATAACTTGAGCAACATTTTGTATTATGTCTCCATATTTTGTAGTATTTTTAAAGGGCTTAATTTTATGTTTAGTTGTGTGTATTCATGTGTCTGGACTGGGTATTATGTGCACAGGAGTGAGTGCAGGCTACTTTGGAGGCCAGAAGAGGGCGTCAGATCCCCTGGAAGGGGTGTCACGAGTGGCTGCGGGCCTCCAGAATGGGTACTGAGAACTGAGCTCCAGTCCTCCAGAAAAGCAGTAACTGCTCCAGTCTCTCCATACCATACTTTAAATGATAAAGCACAAAATGTCTTACTTAAAACCAAGCAAACAAAATGCTATCTTCTCAGTCTATAGAAATAAATGCTCAAGTCAGACAGAATTTAATAGGTAAGTTGCAAGGCAGAGAATGCAAAGGTACAGAGGGAAACCATGGCAAAGTCATGAATGACAGCACGTGCCAGAATTAGACATCGCCCAGTTTTCCCTAAGCCTTCAGGGAGTTACATCATCATCCTCTCCCCCCAAAAAGTTAAATTAAGAGGGGGATTGGTAGAGAAGACTTTCAAAACTGAAATAAAAAAAAATAATGACAGGAAGAAGAAAAAGGTTTTCCAATAATTTTCGCTCAAGTGCCACTGGTCATCAGATCTGACAGCTTCTATCAATAGCACAGTGAACAGCCCTATGGAGCAACACGCCAGCCTTGGTAGAGGGACGGAAAGAATAATATTTGGCAGCTGACCAAATCTTTCATCAGGGATGGGAGCTAATTTAAACCCATACTATTTAGTGCTCTAATTAAGAGCCCTGTTCAGTTCGATTTTCTGCCCTGAAAGTCATCAAATATTACTGTACCCTGTCTATAATGTAATATAAAATATAAATTCTAATTCATAGAAAAATACAATTAGCAGTTTAATGCATTCATCTGGACTTTTAGATGGGGTAAGTCCAGATCATTTAGGCAAATGTTTAAACTACACACAGCTGAAATTGGTTTTTCATTTTGTCACTCGATATATGAATTGGTTGAATGTGAAAAGTTGAAAAATATCATCATATATTTTTTAAACGAAAGTTGAGAGCTCCCTGCAATATTGTTTTAATTTGTTTTTATTCCCACCATCCCATCTGTTCCATTTATAGTTAGAATCAGGTTTCTTTCCATAACTCCTCCACCTTCACTTACAGAAAACATCTTGATTCTAAAATAATTAAAACAGGCACATTATAAAATGAAAACATCTGGTTTCTCTGATTGGATCCATCAGATTTTTTTTTTACTCTTAAGAAAACAGAAAGCAAATGGCATCTCAATGAGTGCCCGTGGTGTTTCCCTTCTCTGTTAGGACGGTTGGGTGCCACAGACCCCAGCAGCATTTTCCACAGCCACTGACCCTGTTGTGCCTTCCTCCTAGCTGCAGAGTAGCAACAATGTCCCTGATTCTACTCACTTCTCTCTTTTGACCTTCCTTTCCTGGAATTTCATCCCTCTGAAGAAGCTGACAATGAGCCACCCCAGTCCTTTTCCCTGGAAGAACACTTCTAGAGTTTTCCCAAAGCCTCCAGCACCTGGCTAACACCCCAAACGCCTTCTTACTCCCCCTGCTCTTTTGTGACTGCATTCAATCTCCGCACACAATTAAGTATGCAAATTTTAAATCTCAAAATGTAATATCTAGACTGTGGCATTATATCTAAAAGAGCACAGGCCATGTATTGCTCCATGACCCTTATTCCCATGTGCCTATGTGAGCGTACCTCTGTCTCTCTCTCTCTCTCTCTCTCTCTCTCTCTCTCTCTCTCTCTCTTTCTCTGTGTGTGTGTGTGTGTGTGTGTGTGTGTGTGTGTGTATACTGTACATGTATACACAGATGTGGAAACCAGAGAATAACCTTGGTGTCATTTCTCAGGATCAGTCCACTTTGATTCTTTATTCTGAAACAGAGTCTCATGTTGACTTGGAGCTCACTTCTTTGACAGAGCTGACTTACCAGCCCCAGAGATCTGTCTGTCTCAGCCTCCCCAGCGCTGATTACAAACTCGTGTTTTCATGCCTGGTTTTTCTATGTGGGTTCTGGGAACTGAACTAAGCTGTTTCCTTAACCCATTCCAAATTTCTTTTGATAGTTTTCCTCCCTTTTCCCCTCTCTTCTCCCTTCCTCCTCCCCTCTCTTTTTATTCCCCCCTTCCCTCTCTCTGTCCTTTCTTTCTCCCTTCTCCCTCTCTTTCTTCATATTTCAGTCACACCATTTATTGGAACATCCTTTGGAGGCAGGATTACATAATGATTAAAGCTGTTATGATAGCTTTTAACCTTTATAAAGCTCATGTTAAACAGTGATGGTCACCATGACTCACACATTACTTAAAACACACACAGAAAGGAAATCACACAGCATCTCCATGTAGCTGGTGACTGTGTCACAAATGTCAGTGATTGTTGTTCTTAAAAATAATATCTTCAAAATAATGATGGCAGAGCCAGCTCTCCAGCCGGTGCTTATGCAAGACTTTGAATTAATCACCAATGAATCTCTTCTTGTTGCTTTTGGCTTGGGAGATCAGCCTGCTGAGGTCTGTTTGGACCCAGATCCCAGCACCCATCTGTAAGCCATGCTCCTTGACTTTGCAATTTCCATGTGTCCCCTAGTCAGTGATAAGCATGCTAGACATAGCTTCCTAATCCAACAGAATTCCATTAATGCCTAAATCTTCTTTTTTACAAATGTAAGCAGACCATGATGCCAAGTGGATAGCCCACTGATCAGAGAGAACACCTGTGAATAAAGCTTCATGTTACCACAAAAATATGAAATAATACCAATCTCTGTCATAATATCAGTCACTGTCAATAATATCCATCATTATCATGTATCAGGATGCAGAAGAGGGTTGTGGAGGATGGAGGGACAGCCGTTCATGGGAA